TATTTAGATGCTATCTATAGAGATTACATATTCTAAATATGTGACCTTTAATTAGTAGAACTTGCATTTGTCTACATTAAGTTGCAGACCTGCTTCTTCTATAGCCTTTAGCACTAGGCGTACATGCTATTTGTGCTCTAAAAGGCTATTGCTGTAGATTAGAATATTATTAATATACGCAGTGCAGAACATGTCTAGGTAGGGTTAGAGTAAGTTGTTTATAAAATGTTAAAAAGTACTAGGCGTGTTAGCTAAGCTAAAGGGCATTACTAGGTACTTAAATAGTTTGTATTAGGTCTAAAACACTGTTAGCTACTTATTACCCTTTGCTATTTTTAGCTTGTTAAAGGTAGTAATAATATCTAACTTTATAAAATACTTTGCTTTACTTAGTTAGCTTAGGGTTTCCTGTAAGAGGGGAATTAGGTATTAGTTTTTAATAGTAACAGTGTTTAGTCTTTAGTAGTTAACATAGAATTAAAGCCTACCCCTAAGTTTCTTTATAAATAGTATAAGTAACGCTACTAGTAAGGAGCTAGCTTAAATAAACTCTTTTTTTAGGTTCTTGTTAAGGTATTTTTAGAGCACTTTTAATTTGTTTAGCAACATCCTATACAGTGGCCTATAACTAGGTTGTTTACTAGGCTTAAGGGTTATCTAGTAATTATACAGACATTGTATTAGAAGCTTATTAGACTTATTTTAAAAGAAGACATGCAACAGGTTGTAGTAGTCTTAAGGGACTATTATCCTTAGGTTAGTGTGTTTTTAGGGAGCTAAAGCTTAGTCTATATTAGAAATTATAACTGCGTAGATTTTGTAATCTAGTTATTAAGCTAGGGTTACAAACAGGGCAGGTCCTATGTGGCAGATGTCTATTTGCTGTTTAAGTCCTAGTTTGTGTCTAAATTAGGTAAGTAAAGGTTCCTTAAAGGCTTCCTTTTCTTTAGGTTTAGGCAGTTGTTAAATTATTTTATGTAGCCTATTTTAGTAAGAGGCCTAGCTTGTTAGCCTTACTTAGGTAGTTTTTTTCTAGGTTATTAGGGAGTAGGTCTAGAGACCTTTTATATTAAGTGCTATTTAGGTGTTGTTTAGGTGTGAGTGTAAGTATACATTTTAGCATTAGAAAGAGTTAAAGTTTAGAACTTACTCTTAGTAATTAAAGGCAACCTTGTGCTAATACAGCTATAGTTATTCTAGGATTAGGTTATAACATTCTATGTTTGTTACATAGAGTTTAATCTACTCCTTGTAGTGTTAGTAAGTAATTATAACAGTTGTAGTACAGGAGATAGAACCTTCTTTAAGTTGTTTTCTATTAAATCTAGTTAGGTAAATTATTTAGGTAAGTAGTGTTAATTAGAGATTTAGTTTACGCACTAGTTTTCTGTTAATGTAACCTATGCTGTTTACTTCTAAGTTAATAAGAGCCTATATTAGGGCTAATACAGTTTCTTATTATAAACATATAAGAATATTAACTTAGTACTTCTAGTTATTAGTAGGGGACTTAGCCTATAGGTTAGTAGAGATCTAGTGTTAAATTAGTCCTAGGGGGCAACTTAGCCCTAGGACAAGCCTTTTTGCAGGCTCCTACTGCTATAGCTGCAGCTACGTTAAGAGTGGCAAGGGGGATTAGGGCTTAAATACAAGTTAGAGCCTTTGCAGAAACAAGATTAGAACAGTAAGGATCTTTAATAAGTACTAGCAGCGCTACTCGCGCAGACTTAAAAAAGGGGAATAGAGCAGTTTTAGAAGATATAACTATGCTTGCTGCACTTAAAACATTAACTTTTTTTCTTGTAATTTTTACGCTTTCTAGAACTAACTAGAGCATAATTTAAATTAATTTTTATTATGTTAAAGTCTTTATTTGCAACTGCGCTAGTTTAGGGGCGTATTAGAGCTTGTATAGGGAGGAACCTTATGTTATTATTGTAGGTAGTAATTAGGTTTGCATACATGTTAAGGTTATTTAGAAGGGGTTCTCCTACTATAGCGTGTTACAGTTTAGTTAAGAGAGAGTTATGTAGGGCTGTAATTAGACCTATCTTATTTAGGCCTGTATTAGATGCAAGTTAGCAGAACTTAGTAAAGTGTAAGGTAAAGCTTTTCTTTTCTTGTTGTAGGGTGTTTAGGCAACTTAGAGCTATTAACTTTTTATTTAGGTCTCTATAGGTTGCTTATAAGAACGCTATAAATTAATCTAGGTTAATAATATCTTTATTTATTAGTAAGTTAATTAAGGCTGTTATGTTGCAGTTAAGTTAAGAGTAGGCATATAGTAACTAGAAGTGTTTAGAGGGGAATTAGTCTGTGTTTTCTTTAAGTTTGTATTAGAGCTTATGTAGAAAGGAAGGTAGGTCTTTCTGTTTTCTGTTAAACAGTAGGGGATTAGGGAGTTAGTTAGATTTTATTACTAGGTTAAAAAGGTTACAGGTTATAGGCAGCGTTAGGTAGAAAAGAGTTAAGCTATCTCTAGACTTCTAGGTAGGCTTTAAAGCTAGTAAGTTCTTAGTTCCTACTACTATAACAAGAGTTAAGGCAGAAACAGACTACTTAATAACACAAAGCTGTTCTTTAAAGTCCTTTTAAAGAGCTTTAAAGCTTATAATGTAGCAGCTTTCTTATAGAGTAAGCGCTTCTTAGAAGGCTTTTTAGCTTACTTTAATAGCTTAAAGTTGTGCAAGTACTAAGCTTATTAGATTAGATTTAGAGGCTATTCTTAGCTAAAGTTTTAACATAATGTAATATTATAATTATGCACAAGTAAGGTTATAGAGCTTCACAGAGGTCTAGTTTAATTACTACGTAAGGTATTATAGTAGGTACAAAACGTTGTGTGAGGAATAAGAAGGTTTAGAAGGAAATTAGCAATTAAATACTTAGCTTAAAAGTCTAAGCGCTTTAAGTATAAATTAAGCCTGTTCTAGGTTTAGTTAGTGTTAAGGCAGTTTGTGCTTAAGTTTATGTCCGTGTCGTGTTGTGTTTGTGTCAGACGTGCACTAATAATACTCTAGTACGCGTCCAATACGGTTATGTCTGGGATCCGGGGAGGATACCGTGACACTAGGCAACCTGAGATGGAACGATTCATGCGAATCGTTACAATAACTATGTAAAGCATTAATGCTAAAAGGTAGGCTATTCTGCCTTTTATTATTTTTTAGGCTAGTAATTATATTTTAAATAAGTATAATAATAAAACCTTTTTAAAATAAAGTTATTATAGTCTCTAAGCATAGCTAGACTACTAATACACTTAGTCTAGAGTAGTTAAAGCAATTTAATATGTATATTAAAAAGTGTACTATTAGCAGCTACAGCCTGCTAGTTATTAACAGCTATAACGCCTAAAACTTACTTTATTTTTAGTAATACTATAAAAATAGTAGAATTATTACTATATTAATATAATAGCCTACCTTGCTTCTAGTTTTAAATTATACACAATTAAAGCGTTCTAGTAGTAGTAGCAGCTACTATTTAAAGTGCTTAATTTCTCTCTTTTATCCCCGCTATCTGCTCTCCCCTATATAAGGAATGGACTTTGTGGTGGATTGGACCGTGAGGACCCGCAAGCGGGCCAGATCAAAGATCTGAATGGGACCCGGCATCCAGGGGACATCCCATCTCGCTTATAAATATCGACTATGCAAGCTGAATCCTCGCTGATTCAACTTGTGCATGCGTTTTCGCAGTGGCTTTGTGTATATAGTCGTGTCGTTGATCCTATAGATCTGAGCGCCTGTTCTAGACTTGTTATATAGAAGATAGATGTCTAGATAAGATAATACAGTATATTCCTTTTATAAGTTCTATAATTATTAACCTTAGATATTACTTTTAAATATCTACTTTTTATTTCTAATTTTTTATGTTTAGACCTGAGATGAGTTTGTCCCTTTGCCTGCTAACAGTCTCTTGTAGTGTTCCGCCCTTGCATATTTATTTAGCTCTCCCGAATAGACATACTCGCTATGGGGTTATAATCTTGTATAAAAATCGAAATTGAATCTATCTTGAAGGACTGCATTAACCTTTGTACTATCTAAAGCGAGAGCAACCCAGAAACGAGTGTTTAGCGGTTGTTTGGAATATTATACATCGAAATCGCGTCAAAATAAATGCGCTGTTGGGTGAAGAATTGACCACAGGCCTGACACCAAGTGATAGGAGTTTCTGGGTCACGGCGAACCCGATTTCAGTTTGATATCTGGGAGGAGTCCGAAATGGCTGCGACGAAGAAGATGAATAACACATCGAGCCTTCAAGCGTGAAGGTAGCCTACCAATTCAGCCACCTCCGCATCCTCCGCCACCACATCCACCACCTGTGTAGAGTCAGTCAGGAACTATGTGGACCATAACGAAGAACTCACCTCCACAGCCTCCACCGCCACCACCACATCCTCCTCCCCCCCCACACCCACCTGCTCCTCCAGAACCACATGTCCCAGCACCCGCGCAACTACCTGCAGCAACCCCGCCACCACACGTCCCAGCGGCACAATTGCCATAGTCCCCATCCCCAACCGACATGCAAGCCGGACTATTCACGTAAATGCTGCCGCCACCGCCGCCACCATACACCATAAATGGGGTCAACGCAAACAATCCAGCTGTCGACAGCATCGCAGTTACGCCGAGCGTACCATAGAGCATAGCTTTCTTCCCCCCCAGGCTCTTTCCACTCTTCGCAGCTTTCCGCGACGCGTCGTCATGCATGCGCTGCAACCGGTTCATCATCTCGCCGCGTTCTGCCGCAAGCCGCGGGATACGGACCGCGCTGTGCGACGAAATATGCGGTGCGGTATGCAGATCAGTATGCAGGTTCGTCTCGCCCATCCACGCAGCCCCTTTCTTCCGACCCAATATCTTCAACGACACACTAGCATCGTTTGACTTGCGCACGGTGGTGCAATACCAGCACGCACACTCTGAATACACGTCTCCAAACTTCTTCTGATACGTCTTCGACGTCCACTCGAACGCGTGGCTGAGTCTCGACTCATCAATCTTGTCGTCGTGATCAACGAAGGTCTTGCCGCCCGTCAGACGCGTCGAGTAGGCATAGTAATGTGGGGGAGACAGCTGGTGAGTGTGCCAGGCGAGGTCGACGTCGAGGGTTGGCACGACAGTTTTGCCGGGGTATTGGGCGAAGAGAGAGAAGAAGCGCTCATATTTGACAATAAGGCGTTGCATGATGTCGCGGGTGTTAGGGGCGTGGAGCCAGTTGATGTTGTGCATTTTTTGACTGGGAGATTTAGCTAGAGCGCAGAGCCTTGGGGAAGGATAACTTACATGAACTGGCCCTGTCGGATGACTGCACCAGCTAAATCTAGAGCGAAAGGAGATGAATTGCCGTAGTATCGCGCCATCATTCGCCTGACTGCGATTCTTGCTGGCTTGCGGACTAAATTGGCCTTCTTGGGAACTCCATTGACGGAGTATGTCAAGGCATTCCCCCATTTTAAGTTCTTCGCATTATTAGCCTGCCTAATTGCAGGAGTGATCAGAGCTGTGACTTTATCCATGCCAAGATTACCACCAGCGTTGCCACTCTTTCCTAAGTCATCAATGTCCTTGAGCATGAATTGCTTGATCAATGAATTAGGGAACAAGGTATTGGACGCCAAAGGGGCTACCTTGACCATCTCAGGGAGCCCCTTGAGCATACATGACCACCTTAACGTGGTTCTAAACCTGGTTTATATCTAACTGCAGTTTTGTAGTATTAAGTCTAAACTAGGTTAGTCTATTAGCTTAATGTAGTTTAACTGTAAAACATATTAATAGCTTAGCAGATCTACATGTTAGATGCAGAGATACAGCTCTTAATGCCTATAGGCAATAATAAACTAGGAAACGCCTCTTTCTTGTATCACAGGCAGACTATTATACTTTAGGCAGTAGTTACTACTAATTAGTTATTACATCTATAGATTTAATGTATTTATATAGCTATTAAAACCTTAATGTAGAATGTAAGTTACTTTAAGCACTTTTTTTAGAACATAATTTAATACTATAGCTTTTAAAACCTTTGCTTTTATTTATTTTAGCTATTTAGTTATCTAAAATTATTATACGTCTTAATTCTACACCTTTTTAAATGTTGCTTATACTGTTTTTTAAGTTAGAGATATCTAATTCTATAACTGTAAACTGTAAAATAAAGCCTATTAACTTTTATTAAGTTATTCTTACCTATAAACTAAAAAAAGGCCTAGCTTTACTACAACTAGGTTATAAATAACAAAGTAAAAAGAAAAGGCTATACATTTATAAAATATGTTCTAGCTAGAAGGAGATGCATTTTAGTAACACTATTACCTACATTAAAGTAAAGCATCTAGTGTTATTAATGTCCTTAGGGACTTGTTCTTATGTAAGCACCTAGTAGTCTATTTTATCTATTTATACTCCTATTACTGCAATAGACACTTTATAAGGTAGTTTTAACTAATAAGCTTATTATAAAGCTTTAATAAGACTACTTACTTATTATAAAGTGCCTTTCTTAGCTATTAAATAGGAGGAACTAGAGCAACTCTGCCTTACTTATAACTCTACTATTAAGAATAAGCTAATTACTGTGTAAACTATAGTTATGTAATACATTATAGTAAACTATAAGCTTTATTAAAAGTAGCTGTCTACTAGCATAACAACTGCTATAAGCCTTATTTACATCTTCTTAGACCTCTAGACATTGCTGCATTGTCACTTAATACTTATAGTTTACGCATAATAAGTTAATTAAGACTATTAGCTTTAAAAGGCACTTCTAGGGCTCCTAGAGCTATGTAACAGCTACTCTAGAAAGCAGTAAGCAGTTTCTATTATAAATACTTTTAGAAAATATAATAACGTACCTAACGGGTTGGCCGGCCACACGGGTTGGCCGGCCACTTTTGCCAAGCCCCTACTAAAACCACCCCATTCTCTCGCAAAACAGCCTACTTTAGCTCTATATAGAGTAATATAACACAAGATATTATTTAGAGTCTACTTCTACTACTTACTTACACGTACGCAAGTTATGCCTAGTCTAATTACACTGCTTGCATTACCTTTAACTTAGCTTACCTCCTTTAGCGCGCACCTGCGTCTTTAGCTTCTTCCTATTACTACACGCTCTAAACTCCTTTAAAGCAGTTAGACAAGCCCTATTCTTAACTATTAAGGTCTTTTCTGCCTAAATTTACTTCTTTTTATGTAATCTATGTTACGTAGCAGCTTTATTTACTGCTTAAAGCTCTGTAATCTTATAGCCTACTTTATTATGTTAATGCTCTAGATAACTATTGTCTACTTTTTATTACCTTACTATATTACTTTTAGCTGTCCTTGTCTTTTTAAAGCTATAATAACTACTTTAGTTAATATTTAGCCTATTATAAAGCTTAACTTATTAAAGTTATACCTATCTTTATTCTAGATACTATACTTAGCTTTTATGTTAGCTACTAGGCAAAACTAGCCCTAGATAACCTCTAGATCCTTATAAAGCACTCTTTTATAATTATACTTATAATTAAACTTTATTATAAACTTAGGGTAGTGCTTAACTTACATACTAGTCTAGTTTAAGCTAACCTAGCCTAGATTACGCTTTATAGGTAAGAAATTAGCTATATTAGCTATAGCTGCAAGCCTAGGGGGAAATCTGCGTGTAATAAGCTTAAGTATGTACTTAACAACTACTTTTTTTTTAAGCTTAGTTAGATTCCTTAATTTAGGCTAGCATTCTGCTTATAAAGGCTGTCTAGCGCGTTAATTGCTTAGTGTTATGTAAGAGACATTATAGATAGCTGCAGCGTGTTACAAGAAGAGTTTTAAGTCTTATTTAAAAGCCTAAAGAGTAAGCTATATCTAACGTTCTTTAGAAGATTTAATCTAGTGTTGTTGTTAAGGCATTATGTAGATAGGTAGAGTTTAGTAGGGGCTTAGCAAAAGTAGCCGGCCAACCTGTGTGGCCAGCCAACCCGTTAGGTACGTTATTATATTTTAAATTAGCTATTATATAGGTAATAATGTAACATTAAATAATACTTATTTAGAAGCTTTATTAAAGTAATTAAAGTGTAAATATAACATTAGTTATAAGTTTAATTAAGCACTTATTAAGCTAATTATCTAAGTAGATTAACTTTAATATAAAGCATTATTAAGTCTATTATATTACTTATATTATTAATCTTTTTTTTTAAGCTTTTCTCTTTGTGTCTTTCTAAAAGGCTTTTATTACTGCTTTTAAGACTACTTTTAGTATTACTAGAGAAGCCTTTTTTATGCAGTTTTTAAGTGTTCTTACCTTTTATTATAAATAAACTAAAGTAGAGCGCCTTTATATAAAGAGACAAAGCAAATAATAAAAGTAGTAAAGTAGTAATATAAGCATTATCTTAGTTAAGGACTTTAATAGCGTTAAGAACATCTTTATATTACATAAGCTTTACAATCTTATAGTCTAGCTCTAAAGTTCTATAATCTACTAGAGTCTCTAGAATAGAGCTATTAGTCTATGTCTTAGAATTAATAATTAGATATAATAGTCTTCTTAGTATTAAGTTATTACATAAGCTTTAAAAAAGATAAATAAGATTAAAAGCTTTATAACTAACTATAAGAACATTTTAAGTAATAATTAGCTTTAAGCTAATAATTAGAATATCCTTAAAAAAGCTGCTTACTTTTTAGAGCTATTTACATTAGCAACTCTATATATAAAGAAGAATAAGTTATTAATTACATAATTACTTAAGCTTATAAATCTTCTATTAACATAGTATAAAAAGTAAAAAGTTAGTATCTAGTTTCTCTTAATAAAGCTAAGTACTTATATTTAGTAGAACTACTACTTCTTACCTAAGAACTATAATAAATGCATAATTTAAGGTATTAACATAGGCTAGTACGTACTTAACAAATACTACAACAAAACAGAAGAGACACCTGTATACGCTGCTGCAATACTACTTAATCTGCGTAAGTAAGCTGCCTACCTACACTAGAACTAGCTAGAAGAGTAGGTAAAGCTAGCTATTAAACTTACTAATATAATCTAGGTAAATAATTTTAAGTTTAATAGTAAACTAGGCTCTTCTCTAGCTCTAGATAACGTACCTAGTATATTAACTAGACAGCTAGATAAGCTTATAAACGTCTTTATGTTATTAAAGTAGAAAATAAAGGTAAAGACTATTAGTTTATAGCTAAATAATAACTTTAAAAGCTTTATTAATAGCCTAGCTATTAATTTAAAAGACAAAGTTACTTTTTTTAAGTAGTAGTGTTAATCTAAGTAGTGTTGCAGCTATTTAGGGCTTAGCTGCATAGCTATAGCTATTTTTTCTATTCCTGTAGAATTATTAGAGCTAGAACAGACCTTTTCTAGGGCCTAAAGGACCTGTTTATAGGACAGATTGCAGTTATAATGCACTACTATTAAAATAATTAAGTGTATTAGTAATTAGATATAACAGAGGCACATTAAGCTAGTCTAGGACAGCAGAATAAGTCTACTAATTAATCTAGAGCTTTAAGAAACTCTTCTTAGTGTTGTTAATAAAGGAGCAGGTAGGATAGATTAGTATTAAAGTAAGTAACTATGCTAACATGCTTAAATTAATGTATATTTACTTAACATAGTTCTTAACGCGGTTTTTAACGCAGTTTAACACTATAATTAACATAGTATAGTTTAAACAATACTAATATAGTATGGTTTAGAGTGATTCTTAATGTGGTTCAACCATGATAGTCATGTATGCCCTTGAGTGATAAGATTGTTCCTGGCAAAGGAGTATTGTTTGATGCAAGACTTTCGACATCTGTTTTGAATTTAACGAGCTCCAGATATTTGTGGTTTATGATATTGTTGCAGCCTATGCACTTAAAGTTGAAGTTGGACTCTGCGAAGCCTTCTCCACTGCTAAGAACATCTTTTAGTTCATATTTCATACCCCCAATCGGCACCTCGCGTTTCGAAGTCCAAGGGACGTCGAGAATAGCCCGACATTTCGCACAGTTCAACTTCTTTGTATCAGGTTCTACAAGGCTATCCCATTTGCGTCTCGTCATACCCTCAAAAGCCTGGACTGCCACCACTGAAGGTCTGTATTCTAGCGTGCTGGGATCAATCGCAGAGTTGATAGCCTCCCATGGGAATCCAAGGGCCCAAAAGTCCATCTTGCCCAGCCGCAAACAGTCTTCGGCAAATGAGCGAGGATTGAGCATATAGGCATGCCAGACCATAAGCACATCTAGGGGCGGCAACCGCTCAGCTGAAAACGGCATTTGAAACCGATGCCCGAAACTAGCTTCGAACCACTTCCCCCCAGAGCTGTCCAGATCGATCTGCATTAACTTCCGTGATGGCTGGCCACCGCGCGTTGCAGGCGCACACCGTGTCCACCATGCCTCGAAGCGATCGACTGCACGCGTGACATAAACGGCCCAGCGCTTTTCTTGAACAAGGTCAATCTCTCTCACTTCGTTGGCGTCATCCCACTGACTCATGGGTTGTGCGAGCGAATTTGAGAAGCCGAATATGCCATCCGTTTTGGATATATGTTCGCGGAGGTTGTAGAAACATTCGAGGACTTGGAGGTGAGCGAGGCAGTGTCCGACAGTTGGAATTGGTGCATTACCGGGAAGATCATTGAGAACGAGAGATCCGACGGCAGAGGTTAGTCTGCATGTATCGAGGTCAGAAGCTAGTTGAGAAGAGTACTGTGGTGGGGGCGAACGCCGGCGAGATTCGTTCTTCAAAGGAAAATCCACTGGCGCTGAGATTTTCACATCATCGGGCTCGCTCGGCACGACAGATCTAAATTTTTGTGGGAAGTATGAGCCCTGCTTTATTCCGTGTGGTGGGCTGGAGGTAAGTAGTACAGTTGAAGCTGGAGAAAGTGGTGATCGGCTTGGGCTCTGCGGTACCTGTGGCGGCTCGGTTTGGCTTATGGCGGTACTCGGGTGCAGGGTTGGGCTTTGGAATGATGGTAGCACGGGGTGAGGAAGTGCATATGAGGCTTGCTTATTTGGCGTAGGATCCGAGGTGAAAGCCAACGCTGGAGTCGAACTTGGCGTTGGCATATTCACCAGTGGAGCAACTGGTACCGGGGCATGGGCTGGCAAAGGATGTCCAGATAGGTTGTATGCCTGTGGCGGATGAAATTGATACGTCTGAGTATACTGCTGCGGGGCTTGCTGTGGAGGCAACGGATAATGCTGGGCCGTTTGATACTGCTGTGGCATTTGATACTGCTGTGGAACGTGAGGTTGAGGAGCGTGATGTTGATGAGCATGATATTGGAATGCTGCTTGAAGTGGAGGGTCTTGGTATAGCTGGCCCCACGGCTGTGGATTTTGACCCGGTGCATATTGCGGGGCTATGTTTGGCGGTGGATAGCTGTTATATCCGTGCTGCGGTATTCCATGCGGCGCGTATCCTGGATACGCAGAGTATTGAGGATTTGACGGAGGCTGCATCTGGTCATTCTGACCCTTTGCCGCCGGTGCTGAAGAAATTGTCACCAGAGGTCCAAGCGAGGTTGGTTGATGGAGATACTGAGGAACCGCTGGCGAGTTGTAGCGTTGTGGCGTTACTGCAGCATGCTGGTGAGCATGCTGGGGCAAATATTGCTGTGATGAATTTACACCTGGCAATTTTCGAGGCTCGAGAGCCTCGGGTTTTGTCGAATGTAGTCCAAGTAACTTTTTCATGATATACGGGAGTCTTAACGGCTCAGAAATCGGCTTGCCCTATTCTCAGCTGTCGCCGCTTCGAGGCCAAGCTTTCAGAGGGAGGACAAGCAATACCAAGGCCGATGAAAAAGCCTTAGCATGCGCGCGATCTCGGGTGCCATCCAATTTTAAGGGCGAGTTTTGGAGAGGGTTCGGGGGACGCTAGACCCGTCGGCTGAAACTTGCAGCTCAGCTGAATCCAAATTGCAAGCTCTCATTGGGCTCTTGGCGCCAGGTGGCTGGCCCGCTAACAAAGTGGAAATTAAAGCAGCCAATCACCTTGTCTAGCAGTTCCGTTGGGGGCTGAGCAAGGCATCAGGATTTGGTGAAAGTGCAAACAGGACCTGACGGTTTCGCCAAATACGAGCGCGAACATCCTCAACCAAGTGAGAAGAAACTAAGCTAAATCAGTTACCGTTTCTTGTACCTCAGTGCCTCAATTCCAACGTCAAATCTCAATTGTATTGCAGTCCCAATGGCTAGGAGGGAAAATTTAAGTAGTTCAGCTCAGCTCTCTATTTAGCCTTGGCCAAAGACATGGTGTTTATAGAACGTAACTGTTTGTCACGATTGTGCACAAGTGTCACGATTGTGCACGAGTAAGGTTATAGAGCTTTACAGAGGTCTAGTTTAATTACTACGTAAGGTATTATAGTAGGTACAAGACGTTGTGTGAGAAACAGGAAAGTTTAGAAAGAAATTAGTAATTAAATACTTAGCTTAAAAGTCTAAGCACTTTAGGTATAAATTAAGCCTATTTTAAGTTTAGTTAGTGTTAAAGTAGTTTATACTTAAGTTTATGTCTATGTTATGTTATATTTATGTTAGACATGCACTAATAATACTCTAGTACATGTTTAATATAGTTATGTCTAGGATCTAGAGAGAATACTGTAACAGTACCCCCCCTCTTATTAGGAAGGGAATCCTTTACATTAGTAGTTCTAGTATTAGGTTGTCTTTATTAGAGTATAGGTTTAGTTTAGATAAGTATTAGGCGTAGAATTAGGTTACTATAGAGTTCTTTTATAAAGCTTTTATAGGTTCCTACAACAGTTTGTTATATCTAGTCTATTTTATAAAGTATTTATAAATATGTTTTTTCTTATTAAACTAGATTTATTTAATGTCTTTTATAACATATTCTAGTTTATTATTTATAATAATAGGTTTAAGTAGTAGGTTTAGCTATCTAGGTAGATAGTTAGATTTAGAAGCTACTTAGCGCAGCAACAATATGTAGAACACAGGGTGTATCTTTATGCTGTTAGGTAGAATTAATTAGTAAGTGTGCAATAAAACTATATAAGCTACTATAAAAAGGCTAAAGTTCTTTTAATTAAGTTCTTTTAATTATTAGTTTATTTAAATATTTCTAGTGTCTAGCTAGACCTTCTTACTAGCTGCATACGCAGGGGCAGGAGTTTAGAATTAGTTTACATACTCTTATTAAAAAGCTTAAGCCTATATAAGCTTTTTATAAACATATTTAGATATATTTTAAATTTTATTAATAAGTCTATTTACATTTATTACTTATATAGATTAATAAGTTAGTTAAAGGGTATTTATAAGTAGTTTAAATTCTATTTAGAAGTAGTATTTATAGTTTACTAAGAATAAGGATACTTATGTTAATTTAAATATTATGTTATTAGCTTTAAACTATGCTATAGCTAACTATTTTACTTAGTTGTTCTACTAGTAGTTTGTGTACACTTATAAGACTTATTTTATTACAGTGTTTATGTTTTTAGTTTAGCTGTTAGTCTCTAGGTAAAAAGCTGTAGATAGATAAAGAATAATTTAGAGCTATTTATAGAGTTTGTCCTAGAAAGCTAAGACAAACTGCGTACCTCTATCTAATATAATTATATTAGGCAGGCTATAGTAAACTTATATGTATTAGTAGAATAACTAGGCTATATTAGAGGCAGTTATAAAAGAACATAGTATTAAGTGTTAATACTTAGTTAAGTAATTAACAACTACTATAATATTTATATACTCTTTAAATAAAGGTAAGTTTATAATAAAATTAATTAATATATCTTTTTAAGCTTATTTAAAGATTAGAAGTAGTTTAAGTAAGCTATTATACCTTTTTTAAAAAGCTTTTACTTTATAGTAAGTATAGCAACATAATATGTATTAGCGTACAGTATAGAACATGCGGGGCTAGTAGTACTCTCTCTATAGTAGGTTAAGAGTCTTTTCTCTGCCTAGGTGTTCTTTAACAGGTAAGTTATGTATAATTTAGAGTAGTTTAATTCTTAGTTTATTAGAATTAAAAATTATAAGTTAGTTATAGTAATATAGCTTACTATTTTAGTTTTTATAGTTAGCTAGTGTTACCTTTTTTAACTAACTAGCGCTGTTTTAGAGTAGGTCTAAAGTTTCTTAAATAAATTTATTATTTAAATACTTATTAGTAATAATTTAATTAATTATTTAATTTATTTTATTTAAGTTAAGGTCTAAAAATAGCTTAGGTTAAAGTAGAGTTTAGTGTTAAGCCTTTTATACTTTTTTTTAAGTAAAGATGTTTTAGAATTACTTTATAAAAGCATCTAGTTTCTCTCTATTTTAACTAGAATAATAAGTAATCTTAAAATTAAAATAAAATAGGTATTTAGACTAATAAGCTTGTTAGTAGCTAAGTTGTTTTATAGTTACAAAGTACTATAAGTTTTTATAGTTAAATAGGACCTATATTAGATGCGCTACACTTTCTAGTTTAGGTTGCTATTATTTAAAGTAGTATACTATAGTAAGTAATTTCTTATTATAGATCTTATAATTACTTTCTACAGGACTTATTCTTTTTAAGAAGTATGTAATAGGCCTAATAGTCCTGTCTAGCTTAGTCTAGAAGAGAACTTCTGCTACTACATAGTCTAAGGCATTAGCTTCTATAAGTATTAGTAGTTTAAGGTTAAAGTAGTAGAGTATTAAAGCTTTAGTAAAGGCTTTTTTTAGCTAGTTAAAGGACTATTAGTAATTTAAGTTAAAGTTAAATTAAACCTTTTTCTTAGTAAGTGTAATTATAGGGCTTACTAGCTATAAAAAGTTGTTAATAAATTATTAGTAAAAGTTAGTAAATTCTATAAAAGCTTAAACATCCTTTACATTCTTTAGGTATTGCTAATTTAGCATAGTCTAAACCTTAACAGGGTCTATTTAAATGCTATCTGTAAAGATTACATATCTTAAATACATAACCTTTAATTAGTAAAACTTACATTTATTTACATTAAGTTATAGACCTGCTTCTTTTATAGCCTTTAGCACTAAGCGTACATGCTGTTTATGCTCTAAAAGGCTATTACTATAGATTAGAATATTGTTAATATACGCAGTGCAGAACACATCTAGGTAGGGTTAGAGTAAGTTGTTTACAAAATGTTAAAAAGTACTAGGCGCATTAGCTAAGCTAAAGAGCATTACTAGGTACTTAAATAGTCTATATTAGGTTTAAAACACTATTAGCTACTTATTACCCTTTGCTATCTTTAGCTTATTAAAGGCAGTAATAATATCTAACTTTATAAAATACTTTACTTTACTTAGTTAGCTTAAAGTTTCTTATAAAAAAGAAATTAAGTATTAGTTCTTAATAGTAACAGCATTTAGTCCTTAGTAGTTAACATAGAATTAAAGCCTACCCCTAGGTTTCTTTATAAATAGTATAAGTAACACTACTAGTAAGAAGCTAGCTTAAATAAACTTTTTTTTTAGGTTCTTATTAAAGTATTTTTAAAGCACTTTTAATTTATTTAGTAACATTTTATATAGTAGCCTATAACTAGGTTGTTTACTAGGCTTAAAAGTTATTTAGTAATTATATAGATATTATATTAAAAGCTTATTAGACTTATCTTAAAAAAAGACATGCAACAAGTTATAGTAGTCTTAAGAGACTATTATTTTTAAGTTAGTGTATTTTTAGAGAGCTAAAGCTTAGTCTATATTAGAAATTATAACTGCGTAGATTTTATAATCTAGTTATTAAGCTAAGGTTACAAACAAAGTAGGTCTTACATAGTAGATGTCTATCTGCTGTTTAAGTCCTAGTTTATGTTTAAATTAGGTAAGTAAAAGTTTTTTAAAGGCTTCCTCTTCTTTAAGTTTAAGTAGTTATTAAATTATTTTATATAGCCTATCTTAGTAAAAGGCCTAGCTTATTAGCCTTACTTAAGTAGTTTTTTTTTAAGTTATTAAAAAGTAAGTTTAGAAACCTTCTATATTAAGTGCTATTTAAGTGTTATTTAGGTGTAAGCATAAGTATATGTCTTAGCATTAAAAAAAGTTAAAGTTTAGAACTTACTCTTAGTAATTAAAGGCAACCTTATGCTAATATAGCTATAGTTATTCTAGAATTAAGTTATAACATCTTATGTTTATTACATAGAGTTTAATCTACTCCTTATAGTGTTAGTAGGTAATTATAATAGTTATAGTATAAAAGATAAAACTTTTTTTAAGTTGTTTTCTATTAAATCTAGTTAGGTAAATTATTTAAGTAAGTAGTGTTAATTAAAGATTTAGTTTACGCGCTAGTTCTTTATTAATATAACCTATACTATTTACTCTTAAGTTAATAAGAGCTTATATTAAGGCTAATATAGTTTTTTATTATAAATATATAAAAATATTAACTTAGTACTTTTAGTTATTAGTAGAAGACTTAGCTTATAAGTTAGCAAAGATCTAGTGTTAAATTAGTCCTAAAGGGTAACTTAGCCCTAAAACAAGCCTTTTTACAGGCTCCTACTGCTATAGCTGCAGCTATGTTAAGAGTAGTAAAGAAGATTAGAGCTTAAATATAAGTTAAAGCCCTTATAAAAACAAAATTAAAATAGTAAAAATTTTTAATAAGTGCTAGTAGCACTACTTGCGTAGACTTAAAAAAAAAAATAAAGCAGTTTTAGAAAATATAACTATGCTTACTACACTTAAAGCATTAACTTTTTTTTTTATAATTTTTATACTTTCTAGAACTAACTAAAGCATAATTTAAATTAATTTTTATTATGTTAAAGTCCTTATTTGCAACTGCGCTAGTTTAGAGGTGTATTAGGGCTTATATAAAGAGGAACCTTATGTTATTATTATAGGTAGTAATTAGGTTTACATACACATTAAGGTTATTTAGAAGAGGTTCTTCTACTATAGCGTATTACAGTTTAGTTAAGAGAGAGTTATATAAAGCTGTAATTAAACCTATCTTATTTAGGCCTATATTAGATGTAAGTTAGTAAAACTTAGTAAAGTGTAAAGTAAAGCTTTTCTTTTTTTATTATAAAGTGTTTAGGTAACTTAGAGCTGTTAACTCTTTATTTAAGTCTTTATAAGTTGCTTATAAGAACACTATAAATTAATCTAAGTTAATAATATTCTTATTTATTAGTAAGTTAATTAAGGCTGTTATATTACAGTTAAGTTAAAAGTAAGCATATAGTAACTAAAAGTGTTTAGAAAAG